AACTGAGTGGTTCAAAATTGGGAAAGGAGTACGGCAAGGCTGTATATTGTCCCCCAGCTTATTTAACTTATATGCAGAATACATCATGCGGAAGGCTGGACTGGAAGAAACCCAAGCCGGAATTAAGATTGCCGGAAGAAATATCAACAACCTCCGATATGCAGATGATACCACTCTGATGGCAGAAAGTGAGGAGGAATTAAAGAACCTTGTAATGAGAGTGAAAGAGGAGAGTGCAAAAAACGGTCTGAAACTCAACATCAAAAAAACTAAGATCATGGCCACTGGTCCCATCACCTCCTGGGAAATAGAAGGGGAAGATATGGAGTCAGTGTCAAATTTTATCTTCCTGGGCTCCATGATCACTGCAGATGGAGACAGCAGCCCTGAAATTAAAAGGCGCCTTCTTCTTGGGAGGAAAGCGATGACAAATCTGGACAGCATCTTGAAAAGCAGAGACATCACCTTGCCAACAAAAGTCCGAATAGTCAAAGCTATGGTTTTTCCTGTCGTGATGTATGGAAGTGAGAGCTGGACCATAAAGAAAGCAGACCGCCGAAGAATTGATGCCTTTGAATTGTGGTGCTGGAGGAGACTCTTGAGGATCCCCTGGACTGCAAGGAGAACAAACCTATCAATTCTAAAGGAAATCAACCCTGAGTGCTCACTGGAAGGACAGATCCTGAAGCTGAGGCTCCAGTACTTTGGCCATCTAATGAGAAGAAAAGACTCCCTGGAAAAGACCCTGATGTTGGGAAAGTGTGATGGCAAGAGGAGAAGGGGACGACCGAGGATGAAATGGCTGGACAGTGTCTGCGAAGCAACCAACATGAATTTGACACAACTCCGGGAGGCAGTAGAAGATAGGAGGGCCTGGCGTGCTCTGGTCCATGGGGTCACGAAGAGTCGGACACGACTAAATGACTAAATGACGCGATTTGTACACACAATCACAGGGAACAGTCACAGATGTTAAATACGCTGTAATCAGGCAAAAGGCATGGACTGCAACTAGAACTAGCAACAAAAGAGTATTAAAAAAGCAGATCAACAGAACATGCAGAGCTCAGAGAGAACCATCTTTCCCAAGGTGATCTACTCCCTCCACAAGATTCCATGTAATGCTCCTCTGAGTAGCCACTCCAAAGAAGGCCAGTACTGTAAATCATCCACCAGAAGTAGGGTCTTCTTTGCTGTGGTACCAACCATTTGGAACTAACTTCCAGTAGAGATATGTCTGACTCCTTCCCTCCCCACAATTAAAAGGCATTTTAAAATGCCGCTTTACAGAAAGGCCTTTTTGGCAACCCTGCCTGACATATTTTTCCTGTTATGTTTTCCTTCTTTATATGCCTCACACTCAATATTTTATTTTTACAATATATGCCTCTTGGAGTTTTTGTGGCTTATATGTTTTGATTTAATACATGATTATTATAATGTTTTTAACTTATTGTAAACTGCCCAGAATAGTGCAATGCACTAATGGGGTGGTACATAAAGTCATTCATCCATTCAGTCAGTCAATAAAAGCACGCTGCAAAGCAGCCGTGAAAACAGAAGTGTCCATGCAAGCATTTCAAATTAGAAAAATACTGAGGCACAAGCTTTCCTAAGAGTTTCATATACTATTGCAACTTCTGCTTGTTGCCTCCAGATCCTGTGATTTCCACAGAGGCCCCACATGATCACACAGCAGTATGATTTCATTCAGAACCAGCTGTATCAGACAGTCACTCTGCTTTGTTAGTTTTGGAGCTCCTGGCTGGGTGCTGATTCTTGCATCTCTGAACCTACAAACTCCCAAGCAGCTCCAAAATATCTTCTCTGCACTAAATCTGACATAATTTGTCTTAATTATGTCATCACTCTCAGTGGCAGCCAGTTGATAAATCTTTGCTGTAAGAAAACGATTTGTCTTATTTGAGAATTGATAAAAACAGATTTGATGGACCCACTGTGACATAAGGTACAAGATGCTAGAATGAAAGCTGATAACTTTAATTGTGAGGTACCTAGTGTGCTGCAGTGGATAAAATGATGGACTAGGAAACAGGAAACTTAGGACTGAATCCGTGTTATGTTGTAAACCACCCAAAGAGTATTTTAGCATAATAATACACAAAACACAAATAAGAAACTAAATATTTCTAAATAATTAGATTTAATAAATTTTTGTAGAGTTAAAACATGTAGAAAAATTGATGCAGTTCTGGACATGACAGTACAGTGGTGCCTCGCTTAGTGATTGCTCCGTTGAGCGATAAAATCGCTTAGCGATGGGGTTTTGGCCATCGCCAGAGCGATCACTTAGTGATGGCCCCTATGGGAAAAAATTGCTTTGCGATGATCGCGCGGAAGCGATCATGGCAAAGCGACCCTTTTTAAACAGCTGATCGGCGGTTCCAAAATGGCCACCCACTCTTTTGTCTCGCTTTAGAGGCACCGAAAATGGCCGCCCCTATGGAGGATCTTTGCATAAGGGCAGGTTTTAAGCCCATAGGAACGCATTAAACACGTTTTAATGCATTTCTATGGGCTTTTAAAAATCGCTTAGCGATTAAATCGCTTAGCGACGTTTTTCCTGGAACGGATTAACGTCGCTAAGCGAGGCACCACTGTATTTTTTCTTTGGACTGTGTGCAGATGACTGAAATAATGATGCAACATGAGGCCAGACAGATGTAACTCTTGCAATCTGCCTTTCTGCCTTTCTGTGTGAAATGTATATACCCTGTTTTCCCAAAAATAAGACAGGGTCTTATTTTAATTTTTGCTCCAAAAAACAAATTAGGGCTTATTTTCAGGGGATGTTTTATTTTTTTTCACATACAACAATCTACATTTGTTCAAATACTGTCATGTCATCATCTTCTGGTTGCTACACAATGGTGGAGGGCGGGTTTTCACTTAACTGGAGCTTGTTTTTGGAGTAGGGCTTATATTACGAGCATCCAGAAAAATCATACTAGGGCTTATTTTCAGGTTAGGTCTCATTTTCGGGGAAATAGGATATTGGTGTTGTTGTACTGTGATTGGGTATTGATTTATATCACATGCTATATGCTGTTGGGAAGGTTTTTGTCTACTCCCCCAGAGCTAGTGTGGTATAGTGCTTAAAGTGCCAGATTAGGAGTCAGAAGACGTTAGTTCAAATACACAGACATAAAAATTCACTGCTGGTAGCAACAGTAAGCCACTCCTTGATCATCTCACAACCTCAAGCATCTTATTAGAGTTTAAGTAAGACAGAAGTGACTTGACAACACATAACAGTTCTCACTTAAGTCAACAGGAAGGAAATATTTTATACCGGGCTGTGCCTATTTGAAGCAGCATGGCTGTGGAATGAAGGGGTGTCGGATCACACATTAATGTGCTTCTCCTCTTGCCACCTACTACTCATCCAGTTTTAGCAATCTGCCAGCAGACTAGGGCTTCTGTCAGATCTTAAATCTCCCCAATGGATACAACTCCAATACAGGATTGTGCTCTTAACATAGCAGGTTTTGTAATCCCCCCCCCATAATGTTCACTTGGGTCCATTTTAACTATACAGTACAACTATTCCTTTAACACAATGACACCTTTTCCTAAACCCCTAATCAGCAATCTTTCTTTTCTTCCCGCTCTCCCCTAATTCTCAACTGTCACTTCCCAGCAGGCAATTGTGCTACATCCTTCCCCATGCCAAAAGTGGCTTTTCATTACAAGCCACATGTCTTACCTCTACAAATGAAATTCAAGATGCTATTTTTTTCATTACCAAGTAGTAGCTTACAATCAGAACTCTCAACATGCAAACTAAACATACATATTTAAAAACAATGAACAAATGATACCGTAATGCGACATTATACATAATCAAAACCCATCCAAGGCCAACCTGGTTACAGAGGCCAGAAGGACAGCATCCAGTTGGAGTACCCTTTTCATGTTGCTCAGACAACCCAACCTGTGAATTTTTGTGTGAGAAGTCTTCTCCATAAAGACATATAGAAGGAAGCGTACATCTGTAGTAAGCTGCTGTGGTTCCAGCTTACTACAGAGTGGGCATCATATGATTCCTGTCCCTGATAAACTGGTGAAATGGCTGACAAAAATAAAGCATTTTCAGTAGCATTCCTTTGTATACAGTACAGCATGCTAGCTGGGAATACTAAAGTGATACTGACCTGACAAGTGTTTCTGTTCAAGAATTTCAAGACCATAATTACTGTACTGTGCACAAAATTAACCTCCTAAATTGTGTACTTCCACAGCTCCCTAACCCTACTGTATTAATTCCCACTTGATTTTCAGATATTTTATAGTTCTGCTGTAGATGTTTCTGTAGATGATGTGTCAGTTGTAAGCAAATATCAGAGTATAAATTGAAATAGTGATCAATTAAATTCAATCAGTTAAAGCCAAAATCCTAACATACACCCAATGCTAAATGCAATATAAATAATTTTAATGTATTTTAATTCTAAAAATAAAGCACTGCCTATTTAAATTAGTCACAATGCTATCCCCGCTTATTTGGAAGGAACCTGCACTCAAGTGCAGTTACTGCTGAGTAAGACTTGTACTTTAAGAAAACGACTGTCTGTTAGTGAGTGACAGCAGAACTAACAGGGGTTGTACAATACCATACCTTCACAGAATACGTGTTCCCTTCCAACTAAATTTGGTCTAGCAACTAGTGTTGGAAACTAACACTGAGGACTAGCGCTGAATCTAGAAACTAACACTGAGGACTAGCGCTGAATCTAGGACAAAGCGAATATCACATGAATCTGTTGTTCAGTAAGTGCAGCGCCTGAGCTGTAACCCAGCGGCGTTAGCTGAGCCCGGAGAGGGAAAGTCTCGATTTGCCTCGCTGCTTTATGAGGTCCTACCAGCTGCACCCGACTCCGCTCTCATCACCAAGCTAAGACACAAAAACTCCCGATCCACCTTAAGCGTTTTACCGACGCCTCACGGTCTGACCAATAATTTCCTTAATCCTAGAAGGGGAGGAGCCACGAGCAAAATATGCTAAAGAAGTGTGACTTATTTGCATAACAGCCGAAATGGAAGAAATGCGGATTGGCCGGCGAAAGCGCAGTTCGCACAGCCAGCTCCTCCTCCTGCTTCGCTTTCGGAGGTGTGGCCAAAAGTGAGTGGGTGGAGAGTTCGAAGCTCATTTGCATAACGGCCCAGCGCGTGCTGTAGGCTGTATATTTTTTTTTGAATCGGCGGCGGCAGTGGAGGCAGACGGAAGCGCTTGTGGGCAACGCTCTGAAACAGTGGCGACCGAGAAGTCGTAAACGCAGGTACTGCTCAACTGGAGGGAAGGCGGACGGGAGCGACGGCAGTGCCTTATCTGTAGGCAGGCTTTGTGTCGGATATGGTCGGAGTCAGCGGGTGCTCAGTCGCAACGCAACCGCAGCAGTTCGTCTCAGGCGGCACTTTACAGTAAACTGCTTTTCTTTATTCTTACTCTCGAATCGCTCCAACTTGCTTTTTCCGAGTCTCTGCTGCACTGAAGGTTTTTCCGAGTCTCTGTTGCACACGGGGTCCGTGCTGCTCCCTGGTGACGGCAGCTGCTTCTGCTTCTTCCCTTTTCTCGCCAGTCTGGCCAGGTGGCGGACTCCTCTATCATCACAGGAAATACTTGTGCAGGAGCATGCGCAGTGCTTTCCTAGTTTGTGTTGCGCGGGGAATAGCTGTTTTTGGCCACGAGGCGTTGTCTATTTGCGGAGGCGTGCTTGTGATTAGCTCTTGAGCACACGAGGACCAATAAAGCTGGACCCTGGAGCTGCTCTGGTTAGTGTTGAGCTGTGTTTTAATTTATTATTATGCAGTTATAGTTGTTATTTGGAAGGACTTACTATCAGCAGTTTTTTTAAAGAAAAAAGGAGGATATAAAATTGAAAATATATTGTTTTTCAGATTATTTAAGGAGCTATGCTTCTAGCGAATCTTGGAACCTATGGATTTTTTAAAAATAGTTTACATACTGTGATTTGTTTTAAATAAAGAAAAACATGGAGTTAGTTTTTTTTACTCAAACAGGTTATTTTTTGCTTGTTTTAAAAATGGTGTGACATATTTTAAACTTGATGGAGTAGTTGATATAAACTAGTAGTAAAACACTATGGTTAAGAGCCACATTTTTAAGGATTAGATTTATCTTTTACTACCTCTCTTCTGTCTGAAGTTTGTACATTATAGTGGTCTGGATTCTCAGCTGGTGTGAGCTGTTACATTTTTATTTTTTATATGTAAGTTTTAGCAGCCTAAAATGCAGTAGGAAAAGCTTCCTTCCTGTTGAAGCATAACAGACTGATAGCAGGGCACACCAGGATAGTGGTTGTCTTAGGGATTTGAATGGTTCTTGCATTGTGTAGAGTTACCTTGTGTGGTGTAATGGATAGCGTAACAGACTAAGACCCAGGAGGCCTGAGTTTGAATTCCCACTCAGCCACTAGTGGAAGGTCACTAGGGGCATGGAACTAGTAAAACCACTTGTTATTTATTTTGAAGCTGCATTAGGGTCACTATAAGTTGGTTTTGATTTGAAGTTATAAACCAACAAAAACTACACTGTCAATGCAATTTTTATGCAAACTGCTCCTTTCATTGTATCCACATGCTAGTGCACCCATTTATGTGTTTGCAGTAAATGGCATGTAGATTGCTTGGCACACTTTATTGATCCAAGGCAGAAGTGCCAGTGTCTGCAGGTTCATTAAGAAGGTAAACAAAATCCCAATCTTGCTCTTCACAGAAATGCCATTTTAGAGCTCAGGGGAAAATATAGTTTTCTCTCTGAAATACTTAGGTATTGGGGGGGGACTTTTGCAGGATGTAATAGCATCAGTATAATGCATGTTGCATTTCATGTTAAATATATATTACCATATTTTTGTTGCTTTTCAGTGAGTGATAGTCAGGACCAAAAGATGTCAACTCTGATGTGTGCTGCAGAATGTGACAAACATTGGAAAGTGTTATTTAGAGTTAGTTTATTACAGAAGAGTGATTCACTGTCCTCACTGTAGGAGATAGTACTGTAGCTCCAAAATTAAAGGGATGGGGGAATTAAAAATTATATTTATATTTATGACTTTTTTCTTTACGTAAGAGAGGTGTACTGTTAGTTAGCATTATAAGTCAGTCAGTAATTTATTAGAGACAGAATCTGTTTACAGTATTTGGGTTTTCTATTTCTGGTGTCTTTTATATTCTGTAGGATCTTTTTCTGTAGCTTTAAAGAAGCCCACTATGTTGTATTTTTGGCAGTGATCTGCATATTAATAGTAAATTTTTAAAACATATTTATAAAGGTGAAGTTAAGCTGTGGATATAAGGTTACCAGGTACAAGTTTCTGTATAGTAGGATATAATGTTGAACTTAAAATACATATCTTATGAAGCTTCAGACTATGGATATAATTCTTTGTTTTGTTAGTGGAGTATCACTAATTTGAGAATTCTCCACAGGTTGTAACAGAGCACTCCCTTTGTAGACAATGATTATTATAGGGTTGAACAGAAGGAATTGTATGTGCTGAGCCCTCTTTCATTCCTTGACTGAGCAAATGGAAATGGAAATCTGGGATGAGCACACAGGCCTTTTATTTCTACATAAAGGCCTAGTGCCTGAAGTACACATCAGCTTGGAACAGGAAATTGGGTATGTCTGAACCCTATGTGGATACTTTAATATGTTTGAACTTGTAACTGTATGAGGAAAGAACCCACCACTAAATCTTCGCCAAACTAATGATCTAGATGAAGTTGTGTACTTTGGTAACCGACCTCAACAGAATCTATAATTTTTAACCTCTTGTGAGATGAACAGCCTTCTCCATGTAGTTTCCAAGCCTTCCAAAGCAGGTTGCTTACTTGCACAGAGGACTGCAGAAAGGAGGGCCACATCACTGATTTGGCTGAAGCAACAGGATCAAGGAGAAATACACCGTTAGATCCTGACTGTTGATATGTAGATATGTGATTTCAAATAGGAAAGCTATTCTGTAATTACGCACCCAGCCAGTTTCTGTGGCCAAAATCCAACTGTGCAGGAGCAAAAACAGCAAAAAATATTGTTTGTAATTAATGAGGCGTTGAGGGCTGCAAGAAGGAGGGTGAATCATCAGTTGTCATCAAAACAGTGGGACCCAGCCAATGTTCCCTCTAATTTTCAGCCCTGGTAGGCAGAGCTCTCTCTTCCTCTTGCAACTCTGCCCTTGCAACTCTGCCCTGTGTGCGTGGGGTTCCGTCACAAACAGAGCCAAAAGGACTGAAACAATTGCTGCTGGTGGGTGAAGGAGGAGGAGCCTTGTGCGGTGGGGGGATGGAGTTGCACACATGCACCTTAGAGGGGACCTTGGATCCAGTTTATCAGAATAATGGGGATGGAAGGGGCCTGCAAGGGCATTGAGTCCAACACCGTGGTAAGTGCAGGAATCCAAATGAAAGTATATCTGAATATCCAAGTTCAACATTGGATTCTGGCCTGTGTTTCTGAATTGTTTGTCCACTCAATATGAACTTGAAAGCATTTACAATAAAAGTAGTAACAAAATAAAGCACAACCATTCAAAGATTAAAGTACTGTATGTTGAAAATAACCATAACTTTGCAGCAGGGGAAAAAATGACTCATTGCGTGATTCTGATTAGGCCTCTAGTGAAGTTCTTTCTCTGTCATCAGTTTTTTGGCAGTGATGGGACCACACTAAACACATAGATGCAATAGCAGAAACACCTGCAAGCAACAAGAATAAAAAAGGTTTACATTAAAAGTCCACTGAATTGAAAGTGTGCTCATTCTCTAAAGTACACAAAACAGCCCTATTAAGGAATGTTGAGTTCCATAGATCAGAACAGAATCCTGTAGTAGCAGCCCAGAGAATACTAAGTACTCTTGTAAACTTGAAAATTGTAACCATTATTGGAGAAGAAGATGTTGCGTTGGTTCACAGGTCATGGGACCAGTCATGCAACCAGCATTTCCCTCTTAGCATCCATGATTTTACTTCTAAGTACAGTAAAAAAAAAAAACACAATAGGATTCTGCCTTAGAGATTAAATTTTCAAGTAAATATGGCAATTCAGCTTTCAGTTGTATCATTACAACAGGAAATGTTTAGTCTAGGTTCTCTGAGTTGTTTAGAGGGAAAGCTTTATTTAGGATCGTTCTATGTTAGTTATTACTTGCGATACACACTGTGGTGTGGTGGGTAGAGACTAGGATTTAGAAGACCCGGGTTTGAATCCCTTCCCCACCATGGAAACTTGCTATGCAGATGGAATTGGTGTACTGCTCCTTAAACATTTTACTTAGTTTGAAAGCCCTGTTAGGGTTGCTATAACTCATAACAGTTCTTTTTATTAATATATTGTCACGTGGGTAACATATTGTTAATAACTGTATACAGTGGTGCCTCACTTGAGGATAATCCGTTCCAGTGAAATCACTGTAGAGTGAAATCTTCGTTAAACAAATTAAAAAATCCCATTGAAGTGCATTGAAAACCCGTTCAATGCGTTCCAGTGGGCTGAATAACTCACCATCCAGCAAAGATCCTCCATGGGGCAGCCATTTTCAGTGCCTGTAAAGCAAGGAATCCGTCCAAAAATACAGCGGGCAGCCATTTTTACACAGCGGGTGGCCATTTTGAAGCCACTGATCAGCTGTTTTAAAAACATTTTCTAGCGAAAAATCGGTTCCTGAAGCAGGGAACCGATCGTCAGGAAGCGAATTTTGCCTATTAAAACATTGTTTTGCGATCACAAAACAGTCATCGTATAGCGGTTCCGTTGTTTATCAAGGTAATTGTTAAGCGAGGCACCACTGTACATCAGTTTTCAGGAAGGGTGCAATGTACATATATGTATTTCATACCTAGACTGTTATAAGGAAGATGTAATACAAAAGAAAGGTAAAATCAAGATGTGCATTTTCAGGTGTTAGGGACTGCTGATCTTTCCTATATTTGCAACACATGTTTTCTTCCCTTTGAAAAAGTACAGAGTATCATACAGGGGATGTTTCCCACATATGCCTTGCAAAAACCTGATTCTTACGTCAGTAGAATTGGAAAAAACAGATTCAGGTTGTAGCATTTGCTTATAAAGTTGTAAATTGCCTCACATGTCCTCTTCAAGAACATGCATATTTTAATTTAAGTTACAAATCAGCTTTTATTTGTAGTTAACATCAATGTCCCTTTCCATAATGCTCTGGGATACAGAGAAGATAGCAAATACAGTAGTACCTTGGTTTATGAAATTAATGTGTTCTACGGGATATTATGTAAAGT